TCCCAAGGTTTAGCTCACAGGCACTCATTGCTTTAGATATTTTATATTGTCCAGGCAAGGCAACGTTATTAGACTTGTCAAAAAAAGAAAAGAAGAAAAATCCCTGAATGGAACTCTGGACATTTCTTCCTCAAAGAATGTTTACACAAACCCCAGCTACAAGAAAGTTGAGATATTGTGTAAAATATAAATGGAACAAAATGCACTGATGAACAGAGAAGACCAGTTGTTGGAATTTTTGAGAGGGTGTTGTCCAATTATTGGTTGATGAAAGATTCTAGCTGTTCTTGCWGGCAGGGCAGTTGAGCACCTAAACTCTTTCACTGCGATGCCATGGATTCTGTTTGAGGTTTCTTGTACATATTGAAATATGTTAGGCCTTCTTTTAAAATTATATTATATGGATGGATAATATGTTTTAAAACTTGTGTTTTAAAACTTGTATGCACTGATCTGCATTGATGATACCTTTAGAGGCCCTAGGCACTAATGCACCCCTGTACTATCACAGAGGCAGATTTTTGAACTGTGAACTGATAAAAGGCTGAGTGGTTTCTCTCCTCTAGTACAGAGGACAGGGTATACATGGTTTCCAAAACAAACAAACAAAAAAAGTTCAAATTTTGAATCTAAACCGAAGAAGAGTTTTGCACTTCACCATTTTACATAAGCTTTGACGTAGTGAAAACAACATGATGGATTTCTGGATGATGTTCCCATGTGGCTTTTTTGCATGATAAAGCTTTACCCTGCATTTGTGGATGGCACGGCAAACTGTGTTTACAGACAGTGATTTGTGGAAGTGTCCTTGAGCCTGTGCAGTGAAGTCCATAACAGAATCAGACCTGTTTTCATTGCAGTGCCGCCCGAGGACCCAAAGATCACAGCCATCCAATATTGACTTTCAGCCTTGTCCTTTGAGCTGAAAAGTTTCTTCAGATTCTTGAACTCTTTTAATAAACTATTGACAAATTATATACCCTTATGGACTGTAGACAAAGGGATAATCAAAGCATTCTCCATTTTTCATTGAGGAGTATTATGTGGAAACTGTTTCATAATTTTTACACATTTTTTTAACAGACTAATGAACGTTTACCCATCTTTACTTCAGAGTTTCAGCTTCTCGAAAATGCATTTTTAAAACAAATTCTTTAGACAAACCTGTTGGAAATTTACATATTTACTTGAAAAATACTCCTCCAGCTGTTACTTATCTGTACAACTCCAAAATGTGGTACCAACAGTTACAAATTTGTCATAATAACTGTCCCATTTTGAATCAAGTGTAGATTTATAAACTCCAATCACGATTTTTTTGTTTACTTATATTTACACAAATCCCTCTGGGTTTTTTTTTTAGAATTGTGGTTGTGCATCAAATAAATTTACATTTGTGGACATTAAACCAGAACTAAAAGTAAGATAATTTAGCTTTTTCTATTTTATAATATGTAAATGTATATTTAAAGTGCTTTCAACAAGTTTATTGCATCATATAAAAAGGCAATGACACAAAAACATAAAAAACACATAATCAACTTAGAGA